GTTCCTTCATGTTTTTTTGTACAGGAACATGAAGCTTTTGGTTTGTGAGTTTGCACTGCTGGGAGAAAATGATTTTCGAGCACCGAGTCAGGTAATTTACACGGTGAGTCTGGAACCTCTCTAAGGGAGGGGAACGAAGGGGACCAAGTTTTTGCTGGTGTTGGGATGGAGGGGACACCAACCACAGGCCTTCTATGCCTTCAATCCTATTTCCCTTCTGCTCTGCCATTCAGATCACAGACCAGTGAAAATAGACACTGTGGACAGTGAAGAAATATATTTAAGATGTCAGTAAATACACAAATTTTCGCTTCCTAAATAACTCCTCCCAGCCCATGCTTCAAACAAAAAAGGGGTTTTTTCCTAACTAATTTTACTCTATTCCCATACCTGTCAGCAGATGTAACTTTGTATATTCCCTTGCACTTGTTTTACAGTAGCTCTATTGATCTCTATTGATCTGCTTAATAATGAGTCCCAAGGAATTGCACTGTTAAATCTTTTAGAAACAAAATCTTTCTGAACAGGTCAGTTATTAGGAAAAGTGACAATCCTCATAAACTACGTGTTTTCTTTCCTCAGCATCTTTAGAAGCAGAGAAACTACCATGACAAAAGTGAGTTAAACCCCTTGACATTTTCCCTGTTCAGTAAATGAATTAACATAGATGATTTTTGATTTGTTTTGTAAGACTCCTGCTACATTTCTTAAGTAAATGCCTGAAAACAAAACCAGTAAGCAACTGAAAAGCAAATGATACGTAAATTATATATTCAATGAATATAGATCCAAATATGCAAACATTTATTCCCATCTCAACTATCTCATTCATAAGGAGAAGAGTAACTTAACATTACACTCAGTGTACTCCATGGAACAGGATTAACAGATGCAGCTTCTATTTTGATATTGTAATTTTAGTTTTTTTGATATCCTGTGGAACACACAAGTGTAAAATAGCAGCCATGGTGCAAACTGGATGACTCTGGCATCTGCTTAGACATGGACTAGCTAGATACAGCTCTTACAAGATCCTTACAGATCCGTGTCCAGCCAAAAATCAGCAAAGCACAACTGTGCTTTCCTTTCTCCTGCAAATGCCTCTGCCATGCTGATTTTACACCAGCTGAGAATTGGCAGCACGACAACTCACAGTTATCAGGTATTTGTCAGATTTTGGCTTCCAGAATTGTGCAAATGAGCTGCTTCAGAGAAGAAACCTACTCTGTAATCATATAATCAAAACACAAAGGATTGGTTTTCTTTCTTTCCATGTTCTCAAAGCACTAATAGCTAGCAAATTTAGTTGGAAAATAATTTAAAGAATAAATTAAGAAATCAGCAGAGCCATGTCCCAACATGTCATCTTAAGACTTAGCAGCACAGCATGCTCCACTTGCTGTCAGACAGCTGTATGTGAAAATAGATAATAGATCTTTAAAAACTTACTGCTCACAGCCTTGAGACTTCTGACTGAGGTCTCGATCTTCACTTTTCTAAATCACTGAAGGAATTCTCTAACCTCAGGGATTTGGTATGAACAACCCACAAACACACTTAGGTTTACATGGTCAGTCAAAGCAATAGCAAGTTCCTCCTCTAAAAAATGGGGACTTTGAACAACTACTTCTAATCACAACTGCATAAGCTTTAATACATTCACATTGAGAGCTTTGCATGGCAGACAATCTTGAATGCCCTCTACTAAAGCCATTCCATCTCCTGGGCATGAGAGTTATGTGTATTTTGGCTTGTACTATCGTATTTCTTTCTGATGTCATGAAGTCAACTAAGGAATATCTTTTTTCAGTAAGAACATTATATTATCAGAGTAATGTCACATATTTGCAAAACATATATTATATAGTAAGAATAAATATTATTTGTTAAACCAAGATACAGTGTTGTATCCACAACATACAGTAATATTAAATGTAAATGCAATCAAGAACTATTTCTATACCAAATCCAAAGCAAAGAGCTAAAACACAAATAAAAGGGTTTTTTTTTCCCCAGTTTTGTTTTTATGAAAAAGGAGCAGTAAATGGACAAGAAAAAAAATTTCAGTCATTATTTTCTAGGTTGGTCAAGAGATGAAATGATTGCCTGACTTTGTAAAGCAACTTAGACAGTGAAACTGTTTTTGACTATATTTCTAATCCTCTGGGATGTTCTTTTGTCCTGCTGTCAAACCTTCTCTCTCTAGCTCTGTTTCTCCAGCACAAGTAAACATGGAAAATGGGAAAGAAGCAAATTCCAGTTTCTGCGACTCTCTAACCTTGACAGGGTTGGTTTTGATCTCTGTCACATGCCAAAGAAAAACAGAAAAAGCAAAAAGTACAGTCATGCTCCTTAAGAAGAACAAGGCAGGCTCCAGACCATGTTTGAAGCCTGAAGGAGCTCTTTTATCTGCCATCAATAAGAATTGTGAGTACCTGTTTTCACTGAATCTTCTTATAAATGCTGAAAGCTAAAAGGTGAATATTGAAGTCTGCAGTAAGGTCAAATAAGCTGCTAAATAGTTAGGCCACTGCCTAGAGTTCAAGAGAGATTTTGCACTGCGTTGTGCTAATCATTAAGGATAAAGACAGTAAATAATTATTAATCTCCTCTCCTTATAGGGCAAAGACAGCTACTTCTTTAAAAATTAGTTTTCCAATAGAAAACTAAAATAATCTCTGCAGAAAAGTAGATGGATTAAGCTCAGTTTCTTTTGCAGTTTAGAACCACTGGGGAAAAAAAAAAATCAGGCATATTGGGTGATTTGACTCCATGTGCTAAAGGGCCTGTAAAACACAGGAACTTTGCTTTGCTTTCTAATAAAATACTGAAGAATATATATCGTTCAAAACTCCTCGGAGCTTCACAAGATTTCAAAGAAGTATTCCTGCAGGTGACCTTACACACAACTTTCTCCCCCGTTACTTTGCTGCAATCAAATGATTCTCTCTCCTGCAAGGCCCTGGTACATCATGAGGGTCAGCACCACATTGCAGAGGCCAGAACGAGCCTCCCAGCCCCAAGCTGCAGGTGGCCTCCAGAAGATGAAGGTGCTCCCTGAGAATCTTCCAGCTTTATCTTATTTGCCAAGTAAAATCAAGGGGGAAATCAATGAACTTCACTGCAAAAGAAGTCAGTTCAGGTTTTTGCATAAGCATTAATATAACACATAATATTAATATGGTTTGGTAGCAACAACCAAACCCATTAACATATCAAAAAAAAAGAGCACCATATGCAAGTTCCTTGATCTTAGGGGACAACTAATGGATTACATTTCAGCATGTAAAGATGCAAGATTTATTTTTCCCTCTAGAGATATTCCAAAATCCTATTACTGAGCCACATCTCCATGGAGAGGAGGTGGTTTGTTTGTTTTAATTTTTTTTTTAATCAAACTTCCTTTTAATCAGCCAGAACAAAATGTTTTCACACAGAAAAAAAAAGTCAGTGCAAAAAACAGAGTCCTGATAGAACAGGGGAACTTGGAAGAGAAAATGAAGATGAAATGAAAACACAGGAAATAAAGATGTGTACTCTTTCAGTGCCTTTATTACACAGATGTATGCAGGGATGGTGTGCTCCCAAAGGAAATCATCAGAAAGTTGACTTTTAAGAAGCTGGACCAGGAGACTGAATTCAGTCTTCTGGGCTGATCCAAACTTCAGTGACAATATTTTGCTGCTAATTCAGGTAGGGTTTTGACTGTGGCTTCACACTATTTTGTATCCTCTTTTAGGGACCATTTCTGCTCAGCTATAAACATTTGAGCCCTGTGGAGGGGAACCTAAATGGGTACATATGCACCTGTCTGCACAACTCATCTGGCACTGGCTGCTTCCCAGATCCACTGCTGTCTTCCTTCCCTGTGCAAGCCCTCACAGACTCCTGACTGCACTCAGTTCAGGTATATGAGAGAAAGCTAATCTTTAAGATTAGCTAAGGTCACAAATGATTCATATTCTCATTTATATCCTCACATTCAAGAATTCAAACCCCATTTTTAAATACTTCATAGCATCTACAGTGCTTCACTGACATTGCTGGGCGCCCAATTTAAGAACAAGGATGTGCCTTTGTACTCAGCTCAAGTAGGACCCTGTAGAGTTTCACAAATACAAACAACTTTACCACAATGTCACCAGCCCCCTTGAAACGTTTTGTGCTGACCCTGCTTGCCTTTAAACACCATTACACCACTGAATCCTAGCCAGCTTTGTTATAAAAGAAGAAATAGAGTCAAGCTCAAGAAGGAAAATGCCACAGCTTCAGCACCAAGTGAATAATCCCCATCTGCAACACATCTCTTGTAATTTAAGCTCATGTCATCACAGTCCTCAACAGCAACTCCAATTCTGCCTCTCAGAATTAGAAATCTATTTTCAAGTCACTGAAAAAAACCTCTGGAACTTCAAAGCTGAGCAGTTCTTTCAGCATCAAGATGCATCACAGTTCCTCAAAGTTAGCAGAACTCCCTAACATTAGTTTCTAACATGAAGGAAAATACAGGCTGCTATCTGAGATTCAGAGATGTGCATTCACAGAAGAATATATAATAGCAGTGAGAAAAGCATACAAGCATTTTAGTCAAAAGGCCTTTCTTATAAACATTCAGAACAACCTGAAAATGCACTGCTTTACATTGACTTTTAAAGGAATCAGCACTTCTTTTATGAGAATATTTGTCTTAGGGTGAACATCAACTAATCAATACAGCACCAAGGCAAACATATATTACTATATCAATCATATATTAAAAAAAGCATCAGCAATTTATATTTAATGCCCATTGTAACCAATTAGTACTGCCATCCCCTGATATTACACAAGTTCATTTCCTTAAATTGCCATGGCAGTAAATTCTACGGTTATAAATGAGAAGCTGCAAATTGATTTGCATGTAATAACAGTACCACTAAACCTTTCTTACCACTTTCAATTTATCCCATCTGCTACCAGAGTGGAATTTTAGGATCTATTATTCCCAGAAGGGGACTTACCCAGCTGGACATCTATAACAGTTGGCTGGTTCTCCATGGGGAACAATGGCTTTGGAGGTTTGTCTGTGAGTAAAGCTAGAAAAGAAAATGAGAAAATGTAATGGAAAAACTGAGACCAACAACTTCAAAAAGAAAAAAAAAAAGCTCTGTCATGTAAGCAATCAAATGTTTGTACACTTGATGGCACATAAACATTTATTACATACTATGGTTGTTACACTGCCAATGTGTTACCACTTTCCTCGTGGCTCTGGCGATCCCCTGATTCAACAGAAATGAGCTATTTCAAGAATTACACTTTTAATACAAAGCAACAAAACAAATTCTATTTCTCACTTTTAACCTACAAATAATAATTAGAGCAAGTGGTTTAGACCCTCATGCTGCAAAGTTAACACAATTAATTTGAACTGCCAGACAAATCTGTTTCAGTGTGACCAGTCCCAACGTGCCTTGATGCTTGTCCAAAACAGCATATAAAAACTTGCACATGAATGTGGTTGAAGCACTCCAGCAGCTCCACACTTAGCTTAGACTCTCACCCCAGCAGGTGGGGCACCTGGACCCTCTTCTCAAAGCCTGAGTGGGGACCCTGCCTCCTGCTAAACAGAAGTATCTCCACCTCAGAGCAGGAAAAAGTACCCCAGCCTGGTCCTACCGGGGGACTACTCCAGCCACCAGATAATATAACTATTAAAAAACATAGCTACAAGTAGGGGCTTCATAACCCTGCTTGAGGGCTTAGGTCCAGACAGTGAAAATAGGTTTGTAAATTCAGTTTAGCTTGAAATAAATATTAAATATTCCTGGAAATGGGGAGAAAGGTTATTAATCAAATATAACATCATGCACCACATGAAATCAAACATTTCAAAATTACCTCCAAACTTTTCCCCCCCAGCATGCTGGGAGGACATATCTCCCCAGGTCTGCTTCAGCCATGAGTTAAGGGTTCTGCACAGCCCTCTAGGGCTTTAAAAGAAGTCAGCTGAGAGGCTGAAGCAGAGGTGCAGCAGTCACACCTTCCACTAATGTGACTCAGATAAACAGCTATCAAATCACAGCTGCGTAAAATTGGAGGTAGCTGAAAAAATATGCTATAAAAAAAAACCAAACCAACAAACAGTGTCAACCTACAAAACAATTTTACGTAAACATCTACAGAAAATGAAAACTGTATTAAAGAAATACTTGCTTGATATTGCTTTACAGTCAACACTATTTTTAAAACTCTCTACGAAGTGACTGTCAGCACAAACCACTTCCCAGGTGCCATTTAAAAGTAAATGGGGTTCCTTCCACTGATGCCACAGCTGTGCTTAGACTATTAAAAAATAGGCATTTTGGTAACAAGTCAGCAGCCAGCATTTCAAATCAAAATCATGTGTGCTTTTAAGAACTCCTTGTACAGTGTACCCACAAGGACAACACAGGAATCTCCAAGGGGATTTAAACAGCATGCCGTTAAGAGTAAAACAACAAGCAGGACTCAGAATGAAAGATAAGTGGAAAGTTCTGTTACTGAGAATTAAGCAGTTCAAAAATGTTTATCCAATGCCGAGTCACAAGAGTGATCCAAGGGCAACACCAAGGCTACCTGTACAATCACATTATTTGGAGATTAGCCTGTGAGTAAAAAATTTCTGATAGAAACAAATAACTAATTTGCTGTCATCTGAACGTCATTAGAGAATGAGACAAAGTACTGCCAAACCTGTATGGTCCAAGTACTTGCTTTCCAGGGAATCTCAATCGTAACTAAAGCTGAAAACTTTGAAGTAAGAGTTTTGGACATCAAACCTGAGGGAATCCTTCAGAAGACAAGATATGTTTGAAGCTCAGCATACACACGAGTCCTCAGAAGTACAGAATGAAATGCAGAAAGAGATCAGCTTGAGTATGAAGTTCTAAACAACTTGATATACCAGGTAAGTGTTAGTTTGGGTGGAAATTTGATTGTGGGAGGAGAGGGAAAGCCCAGCCCCCCAAAACATTGCATCCCAGTTGAGCATGTGCCTTATAGTTCGTGAAGGGCCTCAACACGGTTTCAATTTCTGGTATATTATCAGTACTTTTCTTATCAACTTCTTTCCTGAGTTTTTCAGGCTTTTGTTGCTACCTTTAGGCTTTTCTTATATTATTTTTCATTTCTGGTACCAAATTGTACTATGTGCATTGTAGGATATGGAGAAAACTTGCTTGAGTAGCTGCATCTATGCTGTGCCAGTGTGGTCAGGCTTTTCTTGCTTAATGTTCTCTTCATATCTCATCTCCACCTGCACCCTTTGCGACCCAATCTGACCAGGGTTTCCCCATTTCCCTTAGTTTACTTGCAGTCTGGGTGTTTTCTAAATGTGCTCCTGTGAGTCATATTTTAAATGGTTATACTTTGCCATACTGTTCTTGGAGAGTAATCACCATAATGAACTGGCAGCCTGTCAGAACTCTTTCTGTAGGAACTGAAATGGCCCAAGGGGATTTTGAGACTAGAAGGCAATGAGCTGCTGGCTCTTCAATGTCAGATGTGTTTACAGAAAACAAAACCCATTCTTATTGTAGAGGTCAGACATCAGATTACTTATTCATTATCATTTATGAAATTCCCTTTTGGTCCTTCTTAAACAGAAAGGTAATACAAGATATTCTCAGCTAGGACGGATTCTAATCCTACATGATCTCTGTACTTGACAGAAGTCCACAAACAACCTTTACTCAAATTCCCAGTCCTCTATGAGAAGTTTCTTTAAGTCTCAGAACAGTTTGATAGATGTATGGCACTCCGATTTCCAGCCTTGCTCAAGGGGAAGCAGAACAAAAAATTAAGTGCTGTTACTGTATCAACATGTATTTAACAGACCTAACAGTAGAACTCTTGCTTCATCTCCCACAAAGCCACTTTACATCGAAACAATTAAATGCACTTCAAACATTTTTCCTATTATTAAAGGGGCAGCAGGACTTCTGCTATGAAACTGAATCTACCTTGCAAACTGTCATAGGAAGAACTGGGATAGAACTGTCTGCTTATTTTTCCTTCCAGACACCATGGAACGTGCCAGGGCCCTGGGCTGCTCTGAGCAGCAACCCTTACACGGTGGAGCCACTAGAACACCGATGATATTGGTTTCCCAAGGCACAACTCCTAGGCCACACGGTCCTGCCTTTGCAAGGTACCAGGTCTGGCAAAGCAGCACAATAAGGGGTTGCTTTGCCTTTGCCTGCTGTTCTAGGACTTCATTCTGTGAATAGAGTGGGACAGCTTTGGGGGAGTTTGTTTCTGCACATGCCAATGGATGGATACAGCACTGAGCAGACACTGAGGGGGGGCTCACACCAGGTGGCTGTGCCTTGTCCCAGGGTGACACCAGGCTCACTACCTGGGGCATCGCTGGAAGTCACAGGTGCTGGATGACAAGCTGGAAAGACATTTCTTTACCCAGAGGCACCTGGCAATGCACGTGCATCCCATAGGAGCCTGGTGAACACGGCCAGAGGCTGTTTAGCAGCCAGACTGCTTGGAGACTGCCTGAAGTGCTGTTTTCTCCTGTGCTTATACTCACCCCATTCAAAAATAACACACAAACTTTAAAACAATAATCAAGTTGCTGTGATGTCAACACTTGCCATGTGGTTTGTCCCTAAGAATTTTTAAGACAATTTTTTTTTATTCTCTCTTTGTCATAGGCACAAGGAGTATGCTGTCCCACCAGAAGTGCTGCAGGATGGCAGAGAAGAGACTTGTGAAAGATTCGGTCTTTGTAGTTAGTTACACAGCGATCTTTATCAGATAAAGGAGAGCATGATATGCTGCCCAGGTCAATGTTTAGCTACTCATAGGAACAACTGAAGAAGAAAACTGCCTTGATGGAGTTAGCTTCTGCTTTTAAGTGTCAATGCAGCCTAAGAGCCTGAAGGCTCATTTTTTCCCCACCACAGCCTTTCTGTTTTAAAAGTCTCTCTTTCCATATTCAGACATAATCTCACACACTAATGAGTTCCCTTGAAAAAAGCACAAAGCAGTTGAAAACAAACAGCCGTAGGATATCATTATTTAGGGATGAGCAATAATAACTTGCTGGAAAAACTATCAGGCTCCTAAGGAAGGACCAGTTCCTTCACAGTTTATTTGACACAGCTCTCTATTTCCCTACACTGTTTCCTACCTTCCTTCTGCAGCAGCCTCACAGTACTCACCCCACTCCAGTCAGACTTTTACAGCAGCCACAGTGACAGACAGACAGCCCAAGCTGTTGCTACAGTGAACACAAGTCTTTTACTATGTATTGCGAGTGGCTCAGCTAAACAGAACTTCTGAACTGAACACATATCACCTTCTCCAGTACCATGCAAAGGCCATGCTTTAAGCCAACAGGCATCACCTGTGTTCTGAGGACCTGAACTGCTGCCAGTGTGAAGCCAGTCAGCACCAGGGTCACGCACTGAAACAAATCTGCTTATGATTTAAAGGGCCTCTTTCTTATGACTCAGCACAACTGGCACATTTTCCAGGTCAGGTAACTCTTCTAAGGAAGCTAAAATGTTCAATCCCATGTGGGTAACAACTGGTCAAATTGCAGGGAACAGTTTTCTTCTTTCTCATGGTTTCACTCTTCTTGTGATAAGCACACAAAGTACATTTGCTGTTCTATAATTTGCTATTGATGTATCTCCTGGACATTCGTTCATGTAATTTGGAATGATGAACGGAAAAATTATCCAAATACGAAGCAGAATGCAGGGAATCTGACAAAATTGTTTCAAATCTTCTATGAGACAAGTACATACCAACCTACTTCCTTCAATCAAAGGATCTGGCATTTTCCCATCATTAATTAAACACAGAGCCTCTAGTATCATTCAATCAAGAATCTGGCTAACCTTTTGACAGCAGAACAGATCTGTTGGAATAGCAGCCTCTGGAGCAAATAACTGCATGCCAAATCCTTAATCTGAAACAAGCTCATACCCCAAGTTAAGCTTTTGTTCACTCCTAGTCCAAGTACACATGCTTCCAGGCATGGCTTAGATCTACTTTGGCATCTAAGAATCTTGGCAGTGACATTGCAACTTTCACA